TAAGCATAAAAAAGTTTATAATGAAACACAGATATCAGAATACTACAAAAGCAATACAATATGGTGTGTATCCTATGTTTTGAGAATCCCAGACTTTTTACTGAAGATATAGAGTCTCAGAATACTTAACTTACATAAGTTATAGAGAAGACTTTAAGTTATTTAAAGTTAAGTTAGTTTGGAACCAGCTACCTGCATTAATAATATAAGCAATTGTACTTACCATTTTTGTAGACTGGAATAAATTTTCTTCTCCTAAAACGAGATTTCTTCTACAAAATGTTTATTCTTACAACAACGTGAGAGAAATCAACGAACTTAGTAGGTCAGATCCTTGTAGTAGGTGATCCGCCATCATCGGTTTGGACCCGGGGGTTTGGACGWCTCTGACATGTGAGCTTAGGACGGTACCGGTATTCTATACCATAGGACAAAATCAAAACTGCCAACTGGAATGTTAGCTGTCCATTCAAATATGTAGACGTTCAAACGCCGATGTAGAGTTATTGTGAGCGATATTTTTTCTCAGCCAAATTAGAGTCTGTCTGCTTTCATAAATGAGCAGGCTTGGGTTTCCTGTGGTATTTTGGCGCCAAGCTRGTTASCATTTCATGTAAGAGTCATGWAATAGTTGACCAAGCCTTCAGTTCACTAGTTGACAGCAAGAAGAATTGTGKTTGAATTATTTGACAAAATGAAGATCGAAGAAGTAAAAAGTACCACTAAAACACAGCGTATAGCCGTCCATAGTCATATTAAAGGTATTGGCTTGGATGAAAATGGCTTTGCAATGGCAATGGCMTCAGGACTCGTTGGACAGGAGACGGCACGTGAGGTGAGATTTTTGTCCCTAGAAACCGGCAGAAACTAGATGAAACACTGCTGAATTTATCATAAATACGATAATAGTAGTATTGCTATAGTGTATTTATGTTTTTCTACTTGTAATAAAGATCAAAGTGTACATAAATGCGGTTACTTTTCTGTACAATAGAGCTTGTTCACGATGATAAAAGTTTGCAGCGATAACGTTTTTCTTATTGTTAAAGCTTATAAGAAATTAGGTTTATAAGTTTGTGTTAGTTTGAATAAGCATAATCTCTTCTTTTTGCATGTTGTTTTTGTTCTTTTTTATTGCACAATTTTGCATAACTCATGACCGAGTGTACACATAAAGTTTGAAGTCAAAGAACTGTCATCTGTGTATATTAATTTACAACTTAGCTATACATGCTGTATAATTGAATAATTATTTTAGTGAATTATCTGGTTGATTGACAGATTGTTTTGTACACATGTATTATTTTCAGAGTGCTGGTGTAATTGTTGAAATGATCAAAAACAAGAAGTTAGCTGGAAGAGCAATTCTACTGGCTGGACCTCCAGGAACGGGAAAGGTATTACATGTACATGTAATCTTACATTGTTACCATCAAGATGTAATATATAATTACGATTTATAATAAATCACAAAATTTCTATGATAAATTTATAATATTCGTCGGCAATTTTATTTCAGACTGCTCTTGCCCTTGCCATAGCCCAGGAACTTGGTCCAAAGGTACCATTTTGTCCAATGGTAGGCAGTGAAGTTTACTCTACAGAAGTAAAGAAGACAGAAGTCTTAATGGAGAATTTTAGAAGAGCCATAGGTCTAAGAATAAAAGAAACAAAGGAGGTCTACGAAGGAGAGGTATGGAAAATGAGAATTAAGTCAATTTTATTATAAAATATAACAATTTTGGTTATTTTTATCATTGTTTGCTGTGCATGCTACTTCAATAATTCAAACTTGTAACATTCAATTATACCTGTAACAAGATCAACAAGAGAGTTTGTCTTGACAACATTTGGTTCAAAACAAACGCAAATGGTTTTAATTGATAGCAGTCTATTGCTACTTCCACAAAGTGACTTTTTTCCTGTGCTGGTTTCATGTAATATAGCAGTGCAAGCAATTGTATATTTGCRGTGTTTATCTATTTAGTTTCCTTCACTTGGTGAAATACAATTTCAACAGAATAACATTTGTTTATTATCCATTTTTCATCTTTTGTTAGGTGACTGAGCTTACTCCTTGTGAAACTGAGAATCCTYTGGGAGGTTTGTCATGTTTGTTTGTTACTTGTTGTCCTGTCTGTAGATGTATGGTAGCTACCACTTAATATTATAGTGCTAGTTTTGAGAATATTGCTTAATGTCAAACGAGTCAATACTATTTTTCAATATACTGTAATAGTGAAATCAATAGTTCTTGTTTGCATCTTATAAACTTACAATATTTGGTTGTCATTTTGCAGGATATGGCAAGACTGTCAGCCATGTGGTTATAGGATTYAAGACTGCCAAAGGAACAAAACAACTTAAGGTATTGTTCCTTCATTAAAACATTTAGATAAGAACCTGTGGTTGTTCAAACCTTCTTATTCCTAATTTTCTTCTTATTTTKTTTCCTTTTCTCTGTYAATTTAGCTGGATCCCTCAATTTATGAAAGTTTACAGAAAGAAAAAGTTGAAGTTGGTGATGTTATTTACATTGAAGCAAATAGTGGAGCCGTCAAGGTATATTAACACAACTCGGCACTCATATTTTGAAAGGTTGAGAAATARTTCCTATCTTACAAAGTAGTAGTAGTATCATCTTGCTAAAATGTTGTTGTGTTATATATCTAGCGTCAAGGTCGTTCTGATACATTTGCTACTGAGTTTGACCTAGAAGCAGAAGAGTATGTACCYTTACCCAAAGGAGATGTYCACAAGAAGAAAGAGATTGTTCAGGATGTAACCCTCCATGACCTGGATATAGCAAATGCAAAACCACAGGTAATTCTCGCTCACATATTTAACTGATTACATTTATCATCGGATAATTTTCTTACTGAGTTCATTATCATAATTATATTTATATTGTGTCTTTTGTCAATTTTTTTGTCACAACATAATTGTCTATATGTAATCCTGCCTTCCTGTTTATACGCATAYCTCACCTACATGTATGTCTGTCTATAACATTATTTGTGCAGCTTCRATCTGTCAATCATTCCTTTTGTAATGTTTTAATGGATTAGTTGTTCATACAATCCATCTCTTCACACATTGTACTTCATTTTYTCCTTGTATCCCACAATTTACTTTTCACTCATCCAACTATTCTTTCATTCAATTAATTATACTGATCATTGTTGTATTATCTGAAGGGAGGACAGGATATCATGTCAATGATGGGGCAGCTGATGAAGCCAAAGAAAACTGAAATAACAGGTATAGCATACAACATGATATATGATAATAATTATATTTGCCTTYATTGATTTGTTACTTTTTTTAACAGACAAACTAAGAAAAGAAATAAATAAGGTATTTTCTTTTTATGTTCTTCTTTGTGATTATAATGAACAAATGGTTTATTGCATACGTCCATGTATTTGATTGCTGTTTTGGCAATCTGAGTCAATTCAAATTGATATTTCTTTTGTGTTTGTAAAGGTTGTCAATAAGTATATAGACCAAGGTGTGGCTGAGCTTGTTCCAGGTGTTCTGTTTGTAGATGAGGTAAGTAGGGACAAATTTTTGTTTCACCTGATTCATTACTGTATTGGCTCTAAATCATTCTAATTCCAGGACTAAATCCTTTCTTTTTTCATAGTCCAAAATTTAACAACATTTTGTACTTGTTTGTAATATTTCATGATTACTAAGGCTGGAAGGAAGTCTTTATTCATGTAAAGTACAAAGATTGACAGCTGGATTTGTTGGTGAAATCTTCGCAATGATGATCTTGTACAAATTGATGAGAATTCTGTGCAAAATTTTGCATGCATGAGAAAAAACCCAAGACTGATTTTAGCTTCTTGTTTGTTTTCCCTACATAGGTTCACATGTTAGACATTGAATGTTTCACGTATCTTCACCGTGCTCTTGAATCCACTATTTCACCTATTGTTATCTTTGCTACTAATCGTGGTAGCTGCACCATCAGGTATTTTCCTTTTATTCTTACTGGAAAATGAAATATGCATTTTAAAAACCTGTGTAGTAAAATCCATTTATAACTRAAGGTAAACATCATACACATGTAACTTTTAAAATGCTTTTTTGGTGTTCTTGAAAATCTGGAAATTAGTAGTGCATCAGTGTTACTTGCCAGAGTCATTTTCATTAACTTGTGAAACAAGATGTAATAGTCAAAGCGAGATAAAGTTTGATTCACCGAAAAGACACAGAAAAACGTGTTAAACAAAGAGTATTAAAGAGTAGACATTAAACTTTATTTCACAGGTTGATGAAAACCACTCTAGTTTCTGTATTATCAACTATATTCAATTTGTTTGATTCAGGGGCACTGATGTTGTTGCACCTCATGGTATTCCACTGGACTTACTGGACCGTGTGCTGATTGTACGTACKTTACCATACTCCCAGGAAGAAATGGTYCAAATTATAAAGATACGAGCACAGACTGAAGGAATACAACTAGATGATGAATCACTGGAATTGCTTGGAGAAACTGGAACTAAAACTACTCTAAGGTATGTTAGCACTTTTGGTTTCTCATATATTCTTTGACAATGGTTCACCCATAGTTCCTGTGTCAAATTGCTCTCCTTTTGCAGAATTACTGTATTTATTTTGATATCTGCAAATTATAATTTGGTAGTTATTGATCTTGGCTGTCGTTTGTTGTTGCTTTTGGTGCTGTCGTTGCTGTATTTGTTGTCGCTAGTGTTGTTGTTGTTGTTATTGTTGTTGTTGTTGCTGTTTTGTTGCTGTTGTTGCTTTTAGTGTTGTTGTTGCTGTTTTTTGTTGTCGCTAGTGTTGTTGTTGTTGCTGTTGTCAAACCAGTGTATTGTGTTGTTTACTCTCAATAAATCCCGAACTCTACTGGCAAGGTATCATCGATGTCATGAATGCACTCAGTTTAATTGATATTTTCATTATTTTCAGATATGCAGTGCAGTTATTAACTCCAGCCAATGTTTTAGCTCGAATAAACGGTAAACCTATAGCATTACGTACATTCGGCTATTATAGATACTTAGATAAATAAACACTTCATTTCATTAATTGAATCCCTGCTCCAAAGAGATCACCTCCATTTTCATGGTGCACTTAACTATACGGTCCCAAAGGTCTCGGTTATAACGACGGCTGACACTTAATCCCTCTCTCAGAACGGCCTCAGCCGAGTTGCTTAATACGTGGTGGACCAGTCCTCGCGTTTAGCCATGAAGGACGCCAGCTCGCACAGACGTCCCCTTTCACGAAGTCAACAAAAAGTTATAACAATAGGTTTTTATTTTTTTTTCTTTCTAGGTCGAGAATGTATCGTCAAACAAGATGTTGAGGAAATCAATGAACTGTTCTACGATGCAAAATCCTCAGCAAAATTACTTGCTGAAAAAGGAGACAAGTATATGCAGTAATATCCTGTAACCCGGTACTTTACAAAAGCGTGTTTTTATAATGTATGTACTGCCTTTTTAAAAAGGTCTAGTGCTATTGCATCTGCGTGCCGAACGGCATCCTGGGTCATTTTGATCTGGAAGTTTCGTGTCGGTAAAGTGGTGAATAGATTTGTTTCAAAGTTCTAGAACGTCTTAAAGCAATCGAAAACAGAAGTCCTCTCCAGTTAACAATCGTTTACGTATTAATAGTATATCTCACTTCGATGTGGGAATACAATGGACAGCGAACAAAGGAGAACTTGTATTATGTACTGTAAGTATGCACCTTTTTGGAATGACCAGAAAGATGCAGCAGGGAGTAGAATACATGCAACAACAGGTGTAAAAGCGTGAGATGCCCATATTTTGTTTCAGAGTGAGACACTCACTGTCTATAAAATAGCGCCAGTTTTCACGATAGAGACGAAACGTTCGTATGAGAATCTGTATTTTACTTAGAGAGCGTTTTAGGACAACACTGTGATTAAGTATACCATCAATCATTCTATCCTCTTATTTATATTGCTGTTAGTAGACTCACTACTCTAGATGTACTGTAAGTTGTTTGAGTAATAAAAT